CTCGTTTACGTCTCTCCTCTCTCTCTTTCAGTGTTACCGTCACCTTCTCTCTCTCATCTCTCCTCCTCATCATCTACTCTCTCTCTCTCTCTCTCTCTCTCTCTCTCTCTCTCTCTCTCTCGCTCTCTCTCTCTCTCATCCGATCTCTCTCTTCTACGTTCCCGTAACTTCTCTCATCTCTCTCATCTCTCTCTTCTCACCTTCCCCGGTAACTCTCTCTCATCTCTCTCTCTCTCGGTTTCTCCGTCTCTCTCTCTCTCTCTTCTTCTTTCTTCCTCTCTCTCTCTCTCTCTCTCTCCATCTCAGTCTCTCTCTCTCTCTCTCTCTCTCTCTCTCTCTTCTTCTCTCTCGTTTCCGTCTCTCTCTCTCTCTCTCTCTCTCTCTCTCTCTCTCTCTCTCTCCCTCTCTCATAACTCTCTCTCTCTCTCTCTTCCTCTCTCTCCGCTTCTCTCTCTCTCTCTCTCGTTCCGTCTCTCTCTCTCTCTCTCTCTCTCTCGCTTACGTCTCCTCTCTCTCTATTCGTATACGTCTCTCCTCTCTTCGTTACGTCTCTCTCATCTTCGTACCGTTTCCTCTCTCTCTCTACTCATTCTCTCTCTCTCTATCTCTCTCTCTCTCTCTCTCTCTCTCTTTCGTTCCGTCTCTCTCTCTCTCTCTCGTTCCGTCTCTCTCTCTCTCTCTCATCTTCTCTCCTTCTCTCTCTCTCTCTCTCTACTCTCTCTAACTCCTCTCTCGTTCCGTCTTCTCTCTCTCTCTCTCGCGCTCTCTCTCTCTCCGCTCTCTCTCTCTCTCTCTCTCTCTCTCTCTCTCTCTTCTCTCTCTCTCTCTCTCTCTCTCTCTCTCTCTCTCTCTCTCGTCTCTCTTACTTCTCTCTCTCTCCTTCTCTCTCGTTCCGTCTCTCTCTTCTCCTCTCTCTCTCCTCTCTCTCTCCCGCTTCACTCGTTCTCTCCCTCTCTCCTCTCTCTCTCTCCCCGCTGCCTCTCTCTCCTCTCTCTCTCTCTCTCTCTCGCTCTCTCCTCGTCTCTCCTCTCTCTCTCTCTTCTCGTCTCTCTCTCTCTCTCTCCTCTCTCTGCTCGCTCTCTCTCTCGTTCGCTCTCTCACTCTCTCTCTCATCTCTCCTCTCTCTCTCTCTCTCTCTCTCTCTCTCTGCTCTCTCTCTCTCTCTCATATCTCTCTCTCTCACTCTCCTCTCTCTCGTTCCGTCTCTCTCATCTCTCTCTCTCTCTCTCTCTCTCTTCTCTCTACTCTCTCTCTCTGCTCTCTCTCTCTCTCTCTCTCTCCTCTTCTCCTCTCCCCTCTCTCTCTCTCGTTCCGTCTCTCTCTCTCTCTCTCCCTCTCGTTCCGTCTCTCTCTCTCTCTCTTGTTCTGTACATCTCTCGTCTCTCTCAGTTCCGTTCATCTCTCTCTCTCTCGTTCCGTCTCCTCTCTCTCTCGTTCCGTCTCTCTTCTACTCTCTCTCGTCCGTCTCTCTCTCTCTCTCTCGTTACCGTCTCTCTCTCTCTCTCTCTCTCTCTCTCTCGTTTCCGTCCTCTCTCTCTTTCTCTCTCGTTTCCGTCCTCTCCTCTCTCTCTCTCTCTCGCTTCCGATCTCCGGGCCTCTCTCTTTCTCTTCGTTAACCGTCTCTCTCTCTCTCTCTCTCGTTCCGTCTCCTCTCTCTCTCCATCGTTGCCGGTCTCTCCTTCTACTCTCTCGTTCCGCTTCTCTCTCTGCTCTCTCGTTTCCGTTCTCTCTCTCTCTCTTGTCCGTCTCGTACTCTCCCTCTACATCATCTCGTTACACGTCTCTCTCCTCTCCTCTCTCTCTCTCTCTCGCATTCCCGTACTCTCTCTCTCTCTCTCTCTCTCTCTCTCTCTCTCTCTCTCTCTCTTCTCCTCTACTCTCTCTCTAATCTCTCTCTGCTCTCTCTCTCATCTCTCTCTCGTTTCCGTCTCTCTCCTCTATCTCTCTCGTTGCCGATCTCTCATCTCGTTCATCTCTCCTCTCTCGTTCACAGGTCCTCTCTCTCTCTCGTTCCATCTCTCTCTCTCTCATCTGCCAGTTCCGAATCTCATCTCTCTCTCCTCCCTCTCTCTCTCTTCTCTCTCTCTCTCTCTCTCTCTCTCTTCTCTCCTCTTCTCTTCTCTCCTTCTAACTCTCTCAATACTACTCATCTCTCTCTACTTCCTACTTTCGATTCCAGATCTCTCCCTCTCTCTTCTCTCTCTCTTCTCTCTTCTCTCCTACTCTCTCTCTCTCTCTCTCTTACTCTCTCTCTCTCTCTCTCTCTACTCTCTCCTCCTACCTCGCCTCTTTCGTTCCGTCTCATCATGTCTCTCTCTACTCTACTCTCTTTCGTTCCGTCTCTCTGTCTCCTCTCATACTCTCTCTACTCTCTCTTTCGTTTCCGGTCTCTCTACTTCTCTTTCGTTACGTCTCTCTCTCTCTCTTTCGTTACGTCTCTCTCTCTTTCGTGTCTACCGTACTCTTCTCTTTCGTTACGTCCTCTCTCTCTCTTCTCTCTCATCTCATCTCTCTCTCTCTCTCTCTCTCTTCTCTCATCTCTCTCTCTCTCTCTACTCCTCTCAATCCTCTCTCTCTCTCTCTCTCTCCTCTGATTCATCTCTTCATCGTCTCTCTCTACTCTCTCTCCTCTGTCTCCTGTCTCATGTACTACCGCTCATCTCGTCTCTCTCCTCTCTCAATGTTCTCTGTTCATCATGTTTCTACTGTTCTCTCTCTCTCTCTCTCTACATCTCTCTCTCTGCTCTGCTCTCTCTCTCTACTCCTCTCTCTCTCTCTCTCTCTCTTCTCTCTCTCATCTCTCTCTCTCTCTCTCTCTCGTTCGTTCTCTGCTCTCTCTTTCTCTCTCTCTCTCGTTCCGAATCTCTCTCTCTCTTCTCCCTCTCTCTCTCTCTCTCTCTCTCTCCTCGTCTCTCTCTCTCTCTCTCTCTCTCTCCTCTCTCCTCCCTCTCTCCCCTCTCGCCTCTCATCTCTTCGTTAATCCGTCTCTTCATCTCTCTCTATATTCGTTCGTCTCTCTCTCCAATCTCATCTCTCTCTCTCTCTCTCCTCTACTCTCTCTCTCTCTCTCTCTCTCTCTCCTCGCCTCTCTCTCTCTCTCTCTCTCTCTCTCTCTCTCTCTCATTCTATGATTCCGTCTCTCTCTCTCTCTCTCTCTCTCTCTCGTTCCGTCTCCTCTCTTCCTCTCCTCTCTCTTCTCTCCCTCTCTCTCTACTCTCTCTCTCTGTCTCTCTCTCGTCTTCTCTTTTCTCTCTCTTCTCTCTCTCTCTCTCTCCCTTCTCGTCCGTCTCTCTCTCCTCTTCTCTCTCTCTCTCTCCTCTCTCTCTCTCTTCTCTCTACTCTCTCTCTACTCTCATCTCTTCATCATCTACTATCTCTTCTACTCTCTCTTACTCTCTCTCTCTCTCCTCTCCCCCTTTTCCCTCTTCTCTCTCTCTCTCTCCCTCTCTCTCTACGTTCCGTCTCTCTCCTTCTCTTACTCTTCTCTACTCCTTACGATCTCTCTCTCTACTCTTTTCGTTACGTCTCTACTACTCTTTTCGTTACGTTCTCTCTCCTCTTTCGTTACGTACCTCTCTCCTCTCTCTTCTCAAAATCTCTTCATCCTTACATTCTTCTACCTCCTATCATACAATCCATCTCTCTCTACTCTCTCTCTCTCTCTCTCTCATCTCTCTCTCCTCTCTCTACTTCTCTCTCGTTCCGTCTCTGCTCTCTCTTCTCGTTCGTCTCTAACTCTACTCTCTCCATCTCTTCCTTTCTCTCTCGTCATCGATCTACTCTCTAACTCTCAGTTCACGGCTCTCTCTCTACTTCTCTCTCTCTCCTCTCTCTCTCTCTCGTTTCCCCGTCTCTCCATCTCTTCTCTGCTCTCTCTCTCGCTCCTCTCTCTCTTCTACCCTCTCAATCTCTCTCGATTCTACTCTCTCTCTACTTCGTCTCACTCTTCTCTCTTCTACTCTCGTCTCTCTCTACTCTCTCCCTCTCTCTCTCTCGCATCTCTCTCTCTCTCTCTCGTTCCTCTCCTCTTCTCTCTCTCTCTCTGTCTCTCTCTACTCTCTCTACCTCCTCTCTCTCTCTCTCTCTCTACTCTCTCTCTACTCTCTCTCTCTCTCGTTCGCGTTCTCTTCTCTCTC